ATGAGTCACAAAATATCGGTACTTTGTTATTAATTGTTAATAATTCATAAATGCAGCTATAAGTACATTAATTTTTTGTAGTTATTTCATAACTTTTTGAAAAAGTTAAAGATAAAGATGTTTTTTTTTAGATTTCCACTGTCAATACCTATTGACAGTGGAAATCTACTCACTAGAGACTAGAAACAGTGAAACACGCACCTGCGTGTTTCACTGTTTCTAGTCCTATGTGGAGGGAAAAATACCTAATGAGATGACACGGCCGTCACTTCCCCACTTATGTATGTTTATAGTAGAGCCCATCAGGCCATTTATATTTAATCAAAGTCCTCACGTATCTGGTAGGTACTGAGTAGTACAAACTTGTATTGTTGTTAATGAGAGAACCTTGTGAGTATAAGCATGTGCCCTTTTTATCGGTCAGAAAGTTGCATAAAACGATTATTTGAAAGTTAAGACACTCGGACTAGGTCACAAAATATATAATGTTTTTGTGTTTTTCTGATAAATTTAAGTTTCAATTCGATTTTTTTAAATTCTTATCAGAAAGCTATTTTTTATATTTCTCTGACTGTTAACCGATATCATTTGTCAAGCACAACTGCCAAGTACAAATACGTCCAATTCCCAAATTAGTCCATATTATTGGATGTTGATACTTATAACTCACAGTCATGCAGTCTGTATTTTCTCCCGTATTTGGTAATATTCTGGTTTCCTATACTTTAAACTTTTTGTTTATATGATTCTAACAATTTCCTAACTTTATTGATTTACAAATCATGGAGTCTGACTAGATTTTCCACAGTATTTTGGCGTGAAGGTCATCTTAAGTGAACTAAGAGTCTTAATAATTGAAACAAGTGCTTCGTAAGATTAAAGTCTCATTGTTACGTTCAAAATGGAAATAAGTAGGTAAGCACAGTAGTTGCCTTGACGAACCAGTTTCCGATTATGGCAGGAAACGACTGACAAAAATGGCCGAAACGTATTACGGTGGTTAATGATCATAATCTTTGAAGAACACTGTTTTAAGATAAACATCATGTCCGTGTAAATGTGAGTATTTTTAGTATTGTAAGAGGCAAACGAATACATTTATCTAGGTATTACAATCATGCAGCTAGTGATCAACAGACAAAAACGCATAAAACTATGAGAATACCATTGGTCACATTTAAAGAGTGTTACTATGGTTAGTTGTATACAAGATACAACTCACAATCAAATGGTGCATTTCATAAATATCTAGTAGAAATTAAACAAAAGTTACGTAACCAAGCATCAATGTCACAATTCACCAAATCTAGAGCCATTGAAATACCACATTTGGTCTAGAAATACAAGGTTTTTGCTATTATCTTTGGACACAATAAAGAAAATTTGGCACCAGACCAGCTTCACAGATTTCCTGCAACGGGTACAAGGCCTTGTCCTCCATTTCGACCAAGTCTAGCCATTAAACAAATTGTTGACGTGATCATTCAGCGGTGCTACCAACTTCCCTATTCAGGTGGGTAAAAATGGAACTAACAAAACGTTCGCAAAATCTCAATACGGATCAATTTTACAAAGACACTAGTGACGTGAACAACTGTAAAGTTAACTTGGTGATTCGACAATCAGTCGAATAATCAATAAAGATTGGTACAGGAGGTTTTAACCACAAAATGGCCATATTTGCTAGCTACCTTGAACCGTGTTGACGGACTTTATGAAGTGGACGGATAATTAATTACGACGTTACGTCGGTTTTTGTCGAAGTCCGGTTTCGATTAGATGTGGGTGTGCATACAGGTAATTTGCTTGTATGGATTTATTATGTACTGTTATAACATGATGGTAATATATCGTTATTCGTAATATTTGATTACAAAACCATCCGATACATATACGAATTATATCTTTACCAAAGAGTATAAGGGATTTAATTTGTGAAATATTGAAAATCAAGAAAATATAACAATATAGTTAGAGTACAAAAATGAAAGCATTTGGCGAGAGTGAAGTTGTTTTAAGATTTTTTAAATGAATGGAATAGATAGAGCACTTTATTCTTGCCATCAAAATAAAGCCGGATGCAAATGAATAATCCTCAAAACTCTACACAATATACTCTGTGTGTGGGAGTTTTAAAATCAAAAACATCAGATGCACAGCGGTAGGTACCTACTAGACAAGTTTCGTTTGAATCAAAACAAACAAGAGCTAAATAAAAGCATTTCAGCAGATTGTTAACTATTCAGTAATTTATGATGATATTAATTTAGAGTGTAATGTGCAGTATCTTAGAATATTCTGAATAAACTCCACTCCAACAAATACAGCAATTCTAAGAAACTAATAACTTAATTTAATAATGGTTTCAGGATGTTCTTAGAAGCACTGAAAATCTAGTTGGTTCTGTGCAAACACTAAACTAGTCAACTGACTCGTGAAATAGAAAATTGCAACTACTGAATAACGGGTCTTGGAATGAGTAAAAATTGTATGACTTTTTGAATCTGCTAAATACTTAGTACTGAATACCCATTACGGAATATAAATAAATCTACCTTAAAACAACAAAATTGATCAAGTGGTGTTAATTGGAAAGTTTAATTAGTATTTTTAAAGTCCTCATTATTTTCCTGTAAAAAAACCTGGTCCTGGTTCCTGGTCAAAATTCTGTTTATAAGGTAAAGTCTACAAGCTTAAATCACGTGTCAGGTCGAAAACGGCTCAGCGGTTTTCCCACACGAGGCGCCCACTGGAACCGACAAGTTATAAATAAATTCCCTTTTTATTTTGTTAGTCGCATTCTTCACGAGTGATGCCAATAGCCCTAGTGACTAGTTAACGTTGCTAATTTTGATCTTTTCAGAAACAGATGTCAGATGACGCCATCCGAATTTACACAAGAAAAAGGTTTGAAGTGAATAGAGTAAGATTTAGTTTTTAAAATGGATTTTAAGTACAGTCCTGTTATTTTCTGAAGGGATAGATAAGCATTACAAATTATCGTGTTTTATAGTCCCACTGTTATAAATACATATATCCCTACTAATTATCATAATTCGAATCCCAATTACACTTTTTTCAACTGCATTAAAGGCCGACGAGTTCCTTCTTTTTTTATTCGATAATTCGATGTTTGCTTTGCAAACCACAGTCTACTATGTCAATAGATAAAAAGTCTCGCAAATACTCAACATTTTTCTGTGAGCTAGGTATTTTGCATACATCTGACTTCAAGTGCCGAACTTACATATGTATTTGGGTAGTTGACGTCATTATAATAATTTGTAGTAGCATGAAATTACCAGTCCTTCCCATTATTATGTCATAGTGTGTCCGTGACATATAAACCGCATTCAGTTAAATATGAACCGCTATAAATAACTATAAGTTCATTTTGTTGTTTCTGAGCCTTGCTTTTAGCACAGGTCAAAACTTGTTTTACATTCAGGTCAGACATTGCTTGACACTGGCCAAGGTTGCTGATATGTACTAAATTGCGTTTTATATTCCTGTTCCCAAAGGGATAAAGAAATAAAATGTAGCTTACATCCTACACTGATAATGTAGCTTTTTATAGGGGAAATCTTAAAATATAAAATAGGACGAATAGTTCCGAAGATTTGTTTCAATTCATCGCCTTATACTATCGCCTTATATATATTATCCTTATTCGGTGTGTGTGTGTGTGTGTGTGACGGATATATTAATAAACAAAATTAATTTAAATATTTATTAATTTTTCGTGAAGTCGCAAACTTCGTACGAAAGTTACCGAACGACCTTCGTGGGCACGAGAGAGAACGATAATTTATGAAGTGTGAGAAACATACATATGATAACATTATGATGTTAAAAATATGTATATTATGTATGAATAATGCTAATAATTTTCGGGTCACTGCCATGGACGATTTAGTAAGTGTATAAATTGAAATTGTTAAATTATAAATTAACTATTTGTATGATGTACCATTTTGACTTTAAACTGGTTCCAACAAAACTTAACTAACACAGTGGAAAGTACAGAAAATAATAAAAAACAATGATGATCGTCATAATATATTTGAATTTCCCGAACAATGTAAAAGTTCAACATGATTAATCTGGCGTGGGAGATTATTGATCTGAACGAAGTCAATGGCACATGGCGCCTAATACTAACTACTACGTCACAAAAATGATTCAGAAATGAAATCCCGCTTAGTCACTATCTGACTAGAGAATGCGGAGTTTGCAAGATATCATAGTAATCATAAGACTAATAATGAGTAATTAGAGTCATTATTATTTTTGTTCTTGTTCGTAAACACGAAGCCATCCGATTTTTAGATGTGATTCGAAATCTAGCACGTACTACTGTCATTTTTTGCAAGTTACAGGTACAAAGTTGATCTTGGACATAACTACTGTAAAAAAAAACAATCAGCCGTACCTCCTCCATTTTTTGAAGTTGGTAAAAACTACTACTAAGAGACCAGATGCCTGAAGAAGTTGTGTAATGATTATGAACAATGCTCATAAGTAAAACATATTTGTGTTTTGATTGGCTACAAATACTTACATTAACTTCCACAGTATGTGTATGCTTGGAAATAAAAGAAAAAAGGATCAGAGAAATCTTTAAATAACAGTGTCATAAAGAAAACCTGTTTTTAGCAAGTAACGCAGTAAAGGACGACAACCTTCTAAGTATTTTTATAACCCTGGAGACATGATTTGTACCAAAATATAAAGATGGATACGAAAAATCGCAAATCATTAAATTATTTGTGTACAAATACTACTAGCTATACGTGGTAGGTAAAATAAAATGGTTTTACAGACGTAGTAAAAATTTAAGCTTGCCAAGAGGAATATAATAAAACGAGAGAGCTTGTCTTTAAGAACAAAACGTCATTTCCTTGTTCCTATAGATAGAACGGTAATAGTGAACTAAACACAGTTTCACTGTATCGTAATCGTAAATATTGTTTCAACAATAAAACATCAAAAGTACTCACAACTGCGTTGACATTGACGGCAGAACAAGCTTCCTCGATGACTTCTTCCACTGCTCCACTTTCGTACTCTTCAGCGGGAAGAGCAGGATACAGCCTCATGCTGGTACTAAACATCGTATCTTCTTCAGTCGGCAGCTTCGGGTAGAGACTTGTACTTTCCAGCAGAGGTTCGGTTCCTTCTCCACGTTCTCCACTAAGAAAGCCTTTCACAGCATTAGAAGCGTTGGCAGCCCGATGCCAACCCCAGCCATTGGCTTTAAAGTTCTTCGGATAGTAATTAAACATTGTTACAAATCACTGCACTACACTGATTGCACTCAACGTTCGGGGGTTAATGCTCCGAAAATATCTGGCGTCTTCACTTTACAGCGAATCGACGTGGAATGAAGTAGATTTTGTGTTTTTGTATAATATATGGCTCTGCAACAAAGAAAGTTGAGTCTGTAGAGATGGTGAGTAGAGTTATCCCTATATTTGGGAAATTAGTTAGTAGTAATGATACGTAATTGGAAACAAATGATCAGTATGCGCAGAGGTCAAAATCAAGTTCGGCAAACGTAAACAACAAGAATATGCAGTACTGTGCACATTTATACCTAATTAAATACATTATCCTATTAACCTAATTAAAACTTCGGTATAAGTATAGACGGCAAAAAGCTCAACCACTTGAGATTTGCGGATGACCTAGTCCTGATCACTGACAACGCAACTACACTTCAACATATGCTGCAACAGTTGTCGGAGGCGAGTAGAAAAGTAGGTCTCACTATGAATCTATCTAAAACAAAGTTAATGACAAACAGGGAAGAAAAAGTTGTAACTTTGGATGACGCAAGTATGGAATATGTGAGGACTTATACATACCTAGGACAACTAATTGCGTTTAGAAACCAAACAAAAAATGAAATCGACAGAAGAGTAGCTAATGCATGGAATCGTTACTGGTCACTTAAGGAGGTACTTAAAAGCAAACACTTCCCCATGATAGCAAAGAAAAAAGTGTTCGACTCGTGTGTCTTACCATGCCTGACATATGGATGCCAAACTTGGGCACTGAACCAAAAACATCTCCTAGCACTCAGAACATGTCAGAGGGGCATGGAAAGAAGCATGTTAGGAGTTAGAAAAATGGATCGCATACGAGCAGAAGATATACGATCCATAACAAAGGTAGAAGATATAATAAAGAAAGTAAGGCAATTAAAATGGAGATGGACAGGACATATGACGAGAGATAGCAAAACAAAATGGACTAAAATTATAACGGAGTGGCAACCACGAGATGGTAAACGAAAGAGAGGCAGACAGGTAAAAAGATGGATGGACGACATAAAAAAGGTCGCTGAGAATACCTGGCCAAGGAAAGCCAGAGACAGGGAAGTGTGGAAACAGCTGGAAGAGGCCTATGTGTCACAGGACACGCTGATCACTAAACCGAAACTGATGTGTTAGTTTATAAGTTAGTTTAATTATTACTTTTGTTATTTTAGTTTAGTTCAGCAATAAAGGCTTATTATTATTATGTATGTCTTTACCATTCACGGGACCACAGGGTCCCGGTCATTTGGAAGGCGTACGAGGGGCCGAAGCCAACTGCGCAGAGGCCCTTTAGACAACTTTAATATAAATGTAATGGACACACAAACCGGCGACTATCCCTGTATGCACTATGGAAATGCACCCAAGGACAGTCCCCGGTTAGTGTAGGACTATTGTGAATAATGGAAAAAAAAGGTAGGGCTATGGATGGGTTGTTGTGGACTGGTAAATTGGGAACTATGGATGACTATGACACCTGCCGAAACAATGTAATTTTTACACGTAAAAATGGCAGGCGGAGACTCGCCAACTCACCGACCGGGCCCCGGGAATGGTTGCTAGATATAGCAACAGAGGGGCAACGAGAATGTGAGTGGCTGAAGGGTTAAGAAACTACCACCGCTTTCTACTCAGATCATCTGCTCCAGCCGAAGCCTCCTGCATCCCTGGCCCACTCGCGACTTACGAATAGTTTCTTACCCTCCGAGCAGGTTCACTGCTCTCGCGACTCCACTCTGGACGGCCAATGAAGGCAAGCCAGAGGTGGGAGACCTGTTCCTTGTCATCTTTCACTCCAGCCAGCCAATTAAGGCAAGCCGGAGAAGAAGGAACGGTGACTTCTCCCTGGAGCACTCGGGATGATGGTAGCCCGCGGGATCGCTAATGCCCGTCACCTCGCCTCAAGGTGCCCTGCGGGCTTATTATTATTATTATTATAAATACATTATCCTGTTTGCTAATTTACACAAATATATAAATGAAATTACTAGAAGAAGAATAACTTGGACTTTTTGCAATACTAAATTGTAATGGACAGAAAAAGGTTAAACACGATTTTGTTTTTCATTCAACCTGATTCCGTATAGCAACAAAAACTGGCATAGAAAGATGCAATGCGTTGTTTTTGAGTAGGTAAATGTGTAGGTAAGCATTCTTCATAATGACAAAGATGTAGTGATTTTTTTATCAAACATTGCATGTACTTTGACAGTCGATACAATACCTACTCCTAATCGAAATTGTATTATCTAAGAATTGATAAAAAGATGCACAAGCGAGTTTAACAGAGAAAATAAACAACATGCATTCGGTCTCGGTATCAGATAAGATTATCGCTTATTGAGTATTCCTGTTTTATTACGCTTTTTTTTGAAGTTTCTGTTATTTTCAGGTGAGCAATATTTTTTTTAATGCACACATACTACACTGGTCATTACAGGCTGAGACTACTAATACGACAAATATAATATGAGTACTTAATTAGTTATTCCAATAATTTTAATATTAATTCTAATAATATGTAAATTGTTAAACATTAAATCTAAGTCAATCATGGAAAAAACCACTAATGTTAAGTACGGCTCTGGATTACTGTTATTTTTTGTTTATAGAACACGGGTTAATAAAAAGTATTGATGTATGTTTTTTAATGTTTGTTTTAGATTGTAATATGATACATATTATTATATTTAGCGTTAGTCTCGCTAAAATTCGATAACGGCTGAAACGATTTGGCTAATTTTGCGGTGCTCCCGCTCGAAGAGCAGGAGTAGGAACGGGGTGGTATTTAGTCAGTAAGAGTCTGACACTCCCTCCCGCCGCACCCAGGCGGAGGAAGAAATTCGATGAATTTCCCCACTAAAAAAATTTAGTGTTGGTTGTAGAGAAATATTCGAGGAAGACTAGCGCAGGTCTAGGCAAATTTTAGGCGGTACGAAGTTTGCCGGCTCAGCTATTAGAAAATATTATAATCTACGACAAAGTTTGTAAACGACGATGCTTTAACCCGTTGAAAATCATCTCCTAAATTTGTTCATACAAAAGTAGTCTCTAAATATTGGAAATAAGGTCTATAATGTAGTTAGTGGAGAGCGGTCACCGGTGACCGCTTGGGGATATATAATATATGGTAATAATAAAATTACTTAAGTATCTACATAAAAATTAAAGATTTTATTTCAGTTTCATTCCATTAAATATTTCTAAATTAACTTTTAAATCAAGTAGTCATTCAAACGAAATGTATCTACGCATACCTACACGAACTAATTACATAAACAATTTACCCATTTCTGTTTTAGATACGAGACGTGTGAAATCTGTTTTCAATGAAGTTCAACGGCTGAATCTAATATACTTACGTAAGCTATTTTTATTTTTAACTTCATTTGCGAGATACTAATAGGTTTCGTACCTATGTACAATGCCAGCAGGTCAACCGATCTTTTTCTGTCACATTTCTTTATTACATGTTCAACTTAATCGCATTGGTATAAAGTCGGAAATCGAATGAATAAGTTTGACAGAACGGAGTAGGTTGATTTACTGGCCATTGGCCATTGTACACTGTAACTATCAATCGAAACGTTATGTTAATTCATTTCACATTACGCCTATTATTTACCGTAGCAGTAGACAGCTTAGCTACCATTCGTCGGATTGGTAGTTTGGTACCCGATGTATGGTAAAACAAAAGGGTCTGTTAGGCTATTCTGTAAAATTTTTTTATGGCATAAGCCGGTAAACGAGCAGACGTATCACCTGATGGTAAGCAATAGGCGTCGCCCAAGGACACCTGGAACACCAGAGGCGTTACAAGTGCGTTACCGGCTTTTTGGGGATTAGGAGTTTGAGGATCGTTGGGCATTTAGGGATTGGGGAGATTGCGGAAGGGGAGGGTAATTGGGCCTCCGGTAACCTCACTCACACGACGAAACAACGCAAGCGTTGCTTCACGTCGGTTTTCTGTGAGGCCGTGGTATCACTCCGGTCGAGACGGCCCATTCGTGCCGAAGCATGGCTCTCCCACGCTTAATAAGTTTCAATTCAAAAGATCAAAGTAAACTCGATCGCAGTCCGCTGTGCTACTGGTTGTGAATCTTCAGTGTGAATGTGATTGAAGAAAAAAAATGTGAATAATCCTGACTAATAACGGGCGAGAATAAGATCGAGCTCACCTCGAGAGTTCAAATTCAAATGCATTTATTTGCAAGAATACATATTTTTCAAAGGAATGGATGTCCTGCACTCCTACAGGATAGCTAAGATGAAATGGTTTGAGGGGATACCTTTATAAACCGTCTAGTTTTTTGGGGAAAGACTAGGGATTGTAGGGTTTTACCAGTCTAAAAACACCCCGGTGGCTACCATCATCACTGCCTATAACTCTCATAAGAGGCACCGCGGAGAGCTTGAAAAACAGAATAATACTTTCAACGTAACCTTCTAGCTTAAATAATCGCAGGCTGGGCAAACTTCTAGTTGGCATATCTCTAGATAAAATATTAAACACTAACCTAAATGAGTAATAAAGCAATTATCTATAAATGTAGACGTAGATTGCGTGCCCTATATTTATTAAATTAACGAAATCAACATAATTCAAGGTGTACAAAGTAATACGTTTAAAGTTTTTTGGGTGTGTTTGCGAAGGAGGCCGAAATTAGGCCGCTCCCTTTACACAAACATGGCGTCACCGGCTGAACACTTCGACCTCCTTGCTCTAGGGTACATTATGTTTTTAATCACTGAAATTAAAAAAAAAACATAATGTGCTTTGTGTTTCATTGTTTTTTTTTTCGCATTTGCACGTTTATAAACTACAAAATTATAGTTCTATTTTGCTTTGGCGCGATTGAACTGACTCGACCGGAGTGATACGGATTCACAGAAAACCAGTTGAATTAAATTATTTCAGTGCAAACTAATATACGTAACTACAAACTAGCGCCCCTAAACAAAACCGGGCGCCGCACATTCTTAATCCGCCCCTGTACACCAGTAATTTGGTAATCAGTCAAATATCCCCAAGGGAATTGAAATAAGTATGTATAGTTGTACTTTAGAGCAAAATTGGTCAGTATGTAAGTAAAGGTTGGTCGACGCTATTGTAAGTAAGTATGACCTTGATAGGTTTGACCTACGTCGAAAAGAGGACATGTTCTTTTATGGAGTATGTTTTCCAATCTTTTATAAGTATGATGAGTGCATTGCGTTAAGGCATCATGGTTTATGTTTGACGTCCTTTTCCTGTGAAGTGTCAGAACACAGATCTACGCGAGACACGAATGTGTATTCTATTGTGTCTCATAAATATCAACTGACAAGAGGTTAATTCTTGATTATTCCACACTTAGCCTTTCTCCCCAAAGTGAAGGCGACATTTAAAAAATCTTTATAAGCTATGTCACTTACTCATTTCCTACCTAACCAGGTAGTCACTCAGTTCGTCATCGTACGCGATATAAAATGACGAAGATGATGACGTCAATAATAATGTAGCACGCACTACTTTTGTTGTTTGACGTTGAAAAGTGCCATCCTGGTCTAATTGAAATAAATGGTTTTGACTTTGACTTTGACTACCGTAAAATCCTTACAAAACGCTAGGCGTATTTGTTGTTTGATGATTAAAATAAAGCCAAAATAACCGCTTTTACCAACCACCCCTAAATCACCTCTTTAATAAGAGTTACTTACTTAACATAAGGGAGCACCTAAACTAACCCTTTACCTTTACATCTAGGTGTCAATTAAAGGTTGATTAAAACCAGAATATCGTTAAGAATTACGTTTGTCAAATCGTGTTGTGAAATACATATAAGCCGTTTAGCTCATAAACTTGTTATCTATGAAAATATGAGCATGAGCACGACCACCTGTTGCATTTAGCAGATGTTAACTGTATGACCTTAGTCGGCTTAGTGCAAATGCCCTCTATGTCTAATCGCATCAGGAATTTAATAGCATTAAAATACAACCTCAAACTCGGAAATGACTAGCATTTATAATCTGTGGGGATACGTCATCTTATGCTTTCTGAATCATTCAATGACGTATCGTAATAAATAGATGATAATACAATGCAACGAATTAAGTGCTAGTGAAAAAAAAGTGCTAATGAGTAGGTACTACAATGTGTGGTGTACCATAGCCCATAGCCGATACGGTAAGTTAAGACTATGGTATAGCCAGAGCCGTTATATGTAAATAAATATTGGATAGTACATAGCCTTGGGCAATTGCTTAAGGCGCCAGGCTACAAAGACGCACTGCGAGACGCACGTGCCCAACAGCACATAAAGTGTTTTTATAATAACTATCGTGAGACATACTAAATTAACTAAAATCACGGGTGAGCTGCGCGACGTCGCCGCGACCGCGCACGCTGCTTATGAGGAAAAACCCCTCTGTGGTTCGAAACTAGTAGAGCTTTCCTCAGGATATTCACGTGAGTAACCCGTGATTTTAATTAATTTAGCACAAAAGGTAGCGGTGGCGCCAAAAAAAAATTAGGGTCGCCATTAGGTGCTTGCCTAAGGCGTTCTAGTCTTATCCGCCTCTAGGTATAGCCTTTTACAGGGATGCATCAAACTCTGGACTATTTATTACATGAGACTAAACTTATCTAGCGAAAAGTTGGTGTTATGTTAAATATGCGCTTCTGACTTCCAATTCAGGGATTACAAGGCAAGACTTTAATACTACTATGTATATATTTGTATATGTTTACTTTTATTACCTAACTCTTAGTAATATACATTTTTGGCTTTGAAGTGTATGAGCCTTTACACCGGTTCTGTTTCTACCAAGTTCGGCTCTGTGCATATAATAATATCTACGCAAGAATTTGCAATTCGATGCTCATTTGGCAATTCTAGCTAACTGCAATGTTTATTCAAATGTGCGCAGTGTATGAAGCCATATGTGTATCCATAAATAAATAGGTTTATATAGCTTGCACGTGGTCCAACTAATAGAGTTGCCCAACATAATGTGATATGCACTAAGAACTAACTGATGAGAGTTATTTAAAAATATAAAGGGGTAGATAGGTTGTGTAAACAACATTTGGTTACGCAAAAACGCACATATACCTATATTTATATGTGTGTTTTAGTGCACTTTTACTATAAATATTACTTGACAGCGTAATGCGATACTGAGGTAAAATGTGGCTATGGTTGTCCACATTTTTTGTTTTTTTTTTGGCGCCACTATCTCTCTATGGGCAGTTGGGCATGCGTGTCTTTGGACACCTCTTTATAACCTGGCGCCCTAGCCACTTGCCTAGTTTGCTTTAGTACTAATACGGCTCTGCAATGTACGGTAAACACAGCCATTTACTTTTCAGGTAAGAAAACATAGGTTGGTTTTGGTTCAGTACAGAAACAGTGCTTACAGGAGATGTGGCTTGGTTAAAAATTAATAGGTACAATAGCTACTGTCTCTATGCTTAGTCGATTTTTATTTTTTTACCTTTATTACCTGCCTACTATATAGCCGTGCAATATGCATACTTACATACATCACTGTACTTATAACATCGAATTAGTGCATTTGCCTGGGTAGGTCTAGGCAAGTATGTGATAAGAATATGTTTTAACGATAAGTCAGTCCATAGGAGATAAAAATATTACTGAATGATAAGTAGTATTAAAAATAGGAAGGTGTTCTAATTACACAGTATTCAAAAAAGGGGTGTCTATGAAGTAGGTACATCCCTAATATTTATTTATATGTACATTTAGCAGACACGTAGATATATTTAATATTACTAATATAAAAAAATGTTGCAATCTTTTGTTTACCGTAGTTCTTAGAAGTTTACGTATTCAAGAACTTATTAACTTTTATACCTAATTTATTTTAAACAGAACGCATTCACATTTTTGCCTTAGCGTCTCTAAAAGTTAATTGTTTGTTTTCGTCACGTGAAGCGAAACAAAACGCATTCACTTTGTTTATTTCAGGGTCAACAAACAAAAACAGATGTTTTATCTAAATACCTAAAAGAACACTCCTTTCTATAACAGTCAGAACGAAAATTTTTCCTTAAACAAGTTGTATAGGAAACTTTAAGTAATCGGCAAAATTATTTGGGACTGTACTGACCGTAAATTAATTTGCAAAGTGTACTTACCTCCTCTTTCTTCGGCGACTAGTGAACGATTTCCTTGAATGAATTAGATTTTGGACTGGAATGAGTCAACGACTGATCTGTGATTTCTGTGTGAAGTATGAACTTCAAGGTTCATTCAAGAGACTGATAACGATTTGTTCAGAAATATGAATTTGTTGAAATAATGGCAAACATTGCAGAGTTTACATAATAGGTACATTCTGTATTATTAAAGAGTATCGTTATTAAAAAGTTATAAATATATTGGTAAGAATAAATTAAAGATTACGTTTCATGATATAACAATTTTTTTAGGTTAAGGCGTTTCGAAACGAACATATAAACGTCAAATTGTAACTGTCTTTGTCAAAGTAAAATAACCACAACATACGTCATTGTGATAGAAGGATACGCACGTGTTATTATTATTGTGAAATTAGTTATAAATTAAAATGAAAGTACTATCAGAGGAACGAACTCGAATTTTATTCGAGAAACTAACAAAATAGTGAGTAGTTTTACCAGTGTTTAAATTCAATTTACACATACATACTAAATATTACGACATTCTGTTGATCTTTTTATCCAACGTGTGCCGCACTGATATTTCGGTACATAAATGTGATTATAACCTATCTTACAATCAATAAACGTGAGAAATCTCTGTGTAAACAATATAGAATACTGCTGCAATACCATTGTAGCAGTTTTCTGCGAAGATTCATATAACATCTTTTAAACAACGCTTAACTTTAACATTTCAGTATTGGAGTGAACGTGAAACTACTAATAGACAGACCGGATGGCACATACTGCTTTAGAGAGAAGAAAGACCGTGTCTATTACATATCCGAACGCCTATTACACTTAGCACAGACTGTGAAACCAGACAACTTAATAGCAGCTGGAACTTGTTTTGGAAAATTCACAAAGACTAACAAATTTAGGTTGCATATTACTGCACTGACTTATATAGCACCGTACGCACCATACAAAATATGGGTGAAGCCTTCAGCAGAACAACAGTTCTTGTATGGACACCATATTATTAAGAGTGGTAAGTACCTCTTTGGCTATTGGTAGACACTAGTGTACTATAATTGTTGACGTTGTTGTACCTACCTTCCTTCCTTCCATACACTTTTTTATGCCGAGGAAACCTTTAAAAGCAAAAGGGGAGTCCAGGGGAGAAAGACTGGGGATTGTGGGATTTTTATCTCATTAAGACCACTATGGTGGCCACCCTCAGCACCTGTAGGGGACAGACCGGGTCTCGACAGACCGGCCCTAGAGCCTCCATAGTGCAACAGATGTTACAGCACACCCCTAGGGAGCCTCGTCTCCCTTGAGCTTCCCTGTGCATTTGTATGTACTTGACCAGGGGCCCATACCCTAGTTTGATACTAACCTAGATTAAAAGAACCCAACGAAATTGAATCACATACAAATAGAAGCTTATATAATTGTGTATGTACTATGCATAGACTATTATTTAAGGGTTACGGGAAAATAAAGGCTCTTTTATTTATCTGCCAAATAAGGTTGTGAAACAGGTCCATATTATTTTGTAAGAATAGTATTGCACTAGAATTGCAACACATTTGTATGTAGGTTGTTGTTACAGCTCTTTGTTTTGCTACTTTCAAGTTGTCATCTTACTCATATTAACTCGTCGAGTACCGTTATTATAGACACAATTAAAGAACTATAGGTTGCGGTCACCGGTGACCGCTTGGTATTTGACAGTTTAAAATGCGAAAGTCTATAAAATAAATAAATAAAAAATAAAATACATTTATTTCAGGTGATCATAACCCATATTATTACATTGTTAATCAGATAAAATATATTCATAAGTAAAGATTATGACTGTGTGTATGTTTGTTATTCAATTACATCAAAACGGCTGAAGGGATAGCGATGAAATTTGGAATAGGGGTAGATTATGATCTGGAATAAGACTAAGCTGTTTTATCCACTCTGGACCGGACAAAGCCGTTGGCAGACGCTTGTGAAGCTATTATTTTATAACTATTTTATTACTAGCAATACAACTAATTTGTATTTTTAACCTTGTATAATAATAGGGTAGTTGCCTAAATTTTATTTTAACGTCCGTCTGGTTAATTTAAAACATTAGAGAAGTATTTTTTCTTTTTTTAACCGACTTCAAATAAAGGAGGAGGTTCTCAATTCGACCGTATATATGCTTTTTTTTTATATTTGTTCGCCGATATCTCCGTTGCTTATGAAGCGATTTTGAAAAATTTATTTTTCACAAAACTAAATTTGTGAGATTTTAGCTACTAACCTACTTTCGACGATATAATAATCTGAAATATCGTGTGACATCACAATACGGTACTCCTAAACTTAACTCCATTTTATCTAAGTACATATGTAACTTTTTACGACAAATAAAAAAATACGTGTCTATTATTTTTCATTACCTAACTGACTGACTAATTAGATTTTTAATTTTCATTCCCTACAACTACCCTATTGGGTTTTCTTCTTAACTTTCTAAATGAGACTATAGAAATGTAATAGCTACTGAAGATCAATCAAATTCTTATTTTACTAATCCTTTTCCAGGTCTTGGCCGCATAACAGAGAACACACCGAAGCACCATGGCGTAGTAGTCTACACAATGTCTGACATTCCTATAGGCTTCGGAGTAGCTTCAAGGACTACGGCAGAATGTAGGCATGCTGACCCATTAGCCACTATTGTGTTCCATCAAGCTGATGTCGGAGAGTACATTCGGTCTGAAGACACCCTTACATAGTGTTTTAAGTTTAATAAATAGGTTTTAATGTTTGTGTGAGTTTTATTTATAGTTATAGTAAGCAAATGCTGATAAGTCAAAGTTAAAGATTTTAAGCAATCCAAAGATTGTGTAGTGTTTGCATTCTCTCGGTGATGGCAATGTGCTCACTAAGTGACAAAATTTTCTTATTAAAGTGGATGCATGGACTTTTAAATTTCATTGGAAATTGAACTTCTGATTCATGTGTTGAGAGATATTGAACTAAAATTTTTTCATTAAGTATAGTTTTTGTCCTAGCTACTGCCGCGCGGTTCCACACGCTCAGCTCGGTTCCTATTGACGGTAAAGTGATGTTTTATAAACTTTAGCCTTCCCCCATAAATGGACTTTACTATACAATACTAAAATAAACAGTCTTCGCTTCATAAACTAATATAAATAGTATAGATTTCTATAACTGCAATAGGCTCACCCCCTATTACATGGGACTCATAACATAAATAATGATAAGGGTGCTACATTGTACAGTGGCATAATGTACACCTCTGCCTAACCCTTCGGGGATAAAAGGCGTGATTTTATGATGATGTGATGATGATTTCTACAACTATTAAAACTTCTATTAGCGCCATCTATCCACGAAAACGAAACAGTAATTTATGCATCAGATTAATACCGTATGTAACTAACAGATGGCGCTGTATTCAACTTAAGTTGTAGTGATTTGCCAATCCAACATTTATGTACTCTTATTTTATTATAGTTGCATTTACGGCGAGAGTCCTTTGATTAATAGTAAACAATCACAGCTAGTTTCATTAGAAGGGATATAAGGGATCATGGCCCTCATATTATGAAGAAATAAAACGAATTGGACTATTATCTTTTGTGTTACCGTGTGATTTTATCCTAAGTAGGTACCTAAGTTTAATTTTTAGCGTTTTACTAAAAGTAGCTACGGAGCTTCGCGCTCGTTCTTCTACAATTGAAACTACATTTTGGAACGAGCACTTAGCTTCAGTGACTTGGATTGTTGGGGATTCAGGGATTGGGGACAGGGAGGGGGGGGGGGCACCCCCCGGTGGTAATTGGGCCTCCTGTAACCTCACTCACACGACGAAACACAACACAACGTTGTTTCACGTCGGTCTTCTGTGAGTCCGTGGCATCACTCCGGTCGAGCCGGCCCATTCATGTCGAAGCATGGCTCTCCCACACTTAAAACACACTCGTATGGGCTATTGCTTATGAATTCGTCATGGAAACTTGTATTAAATAATATTTTGCGATTAGCCGATGTTTCGTAATAAAACCCACGTGATGGCGGCAGATTACAATATCTACATATGTCATCATACCAATTCTTCACGCTAGTATCGTAAGTAGGAGTGGTTTCTGCTCGCGGCTTCGCCCACGTTCTTGTGAGATAAGAAAAACCCTATGTGTTATTCCAGATAATAAAATGTATTCCTGTTCTAAATTTAATTATTTCATGTTTTACAAGAATCAATGTTATCTTAATCTCATCCTGATCCTTTCAGCCGCTTTAACGTGGTTGAGTAACAAACATACATACAAACACATTAATACACGAACTCAGAAACTTTTACATTTAAACTAGCTGAGCTCGCGACTTTGTCCGCGTGGAATAGTGATTCACAGTTCCTCCCCCGTAGTTGATAGCATAATAATATGTAGCCTATATGTTGACACGACCTATTAGTAATACTCATTCAAAATTTGAAGTAAATCCATGCAGTACTCTTTGAATTCATCCCGGATATACCATACAGACAAAAATTCTAAAAATTTGAAGTAAATCCATGCAGTACTCTTTGAATTCATCCCGGATATACCATACAGACAAAAATTCTAAAAATTTGAAGTAAATCCATGCAGTACTCTTTGAATTCATCCGGATATACCATACAGACAAAAATTCTAAAAATTTGAAGTAAATCCATGCAGTACTCTTTGAATTCATCCCGGATATACCATACAGACAAAAATTCTAAAAATTTGAAGTAAATCCATGCAGTACTCTTTGAATTCATCCCGGATATACCATACAGACAAAAATTCTAAAAATTTGAAGTAAATCCATGCAGTACTCTTTGAATCATCCCGGATATACCATACAGACAAAAATTCTAAAAATTTGAAAGTAAATCCATGCAGTACTCTTTGAATTCATCCCGGATATACCATACAGACAAAAATTCTAAAAATTTGAAGTAAATCCATGCAGTACTCTTTGAATTCATCCCGGATATACCATACAGACAAAAATTCTAAAAATTTGAAGTAAATCCATGCAGTACTCTTTGAATTCATCCCGGATATACCATACAGACAAAAATTCTAAAAATTTGAAGTAAATCCATGCAGTACTCTTTGAATTCATCCCGGATATACCATACAGACAAAAATTCTAAAAATTTGAAGTAAATCCATGCAGTACTCTTTGAATTCATCCCGGATATACCATACAGACAAAAATTCTAAAAATTTGAAGTAAATCCATGCAGTACTCTTTGAATTCATCCCGGATATACCATACAGACAAAAATTCTAAAAATTTGAAGTAAATCCATGCAGTACTCTTTGAATTCATCCCGGATATACCATACAGACAAAAATTCTAAAAATTTGAAGTAAATCCATGCAGTACTCTTTGAATTCATCCCGGATATACCATACAGACAAAAATTCTAAAAATTTGAAGTAAATCCATGCAGTACTCTTTGAATTCATCCCGGATATACCATACAGACAAAAATTCTAAAAATTTGAAGTAAATCCATGCAGTACTCTTTGAATTCATACCGGATATACCATACAGACAAAAATTCTAAAAATTTGAAGTAAATCCATGCAGTACTCTTTGAATTCATACCGGATATACCATACAGACAAAAATTCTAAAAATTTGAAGTAAATCCATGCAGTACTCTTTGAATTCATACCGGATATACCATACAGACAAAAATTCTAAAAATCCAATTTTTATGGTTTCGGTATCGACCACGCTCAAAGCATTCTTTGACCACGCTAAAAAAAATATTCGATGTACAGTTTTCACTTTCCTACGATTTTATTATATGTATAGAAGATATAGATATTAGTAAGAAGGTAATTTCGCCTGTTCGCGTCCACCCAAAAATGTCCCTCTGTTCGCGTCTACCCAACGGTTTGCGATTATTTCACGGATCGCCATGAATGGAAGATACTGGCAACGTGGAAGTTCTCAAGAGATATGTAGGTACTAACCACTCCTAATACGAGTTTCCTTATGGGATCGAGCATTTCTTTCTTTATTGAAACAAAGAGTTTCCTTTTTCTTGTATAGAAGCACTATTATTATGGTTTGTCAGTATGCGTATGTGAGCACCACGTTAGACTATAACATTTTTTTATTTTACTAAATTTTGTAATTATTACCAATAATGCGTCAAGCGTGTCTTTGCATTGTTCTCACATATACGTACAGTATTGGAATATGTATCAGAGACATTGTAGAAAATACTTTTTTAAAAAAGAGTAGGTAACGAATAGAGTTTGTTGCTCGTTCTTCTCCATTTGAATCTACATTTTGGAATGAGCACCTAGCTACACCTAGCTTCACTGACGAACTGACTGACTGACTATTATTTATTTTGTATTTGTTGACGTTTCAAAAGTACCAAATTATGGTATAATTGAAATAAATGCTTTGACTTTCACTTTGATTTTGACTTACGGTGGCAGTTTTTTTGAATTTTTAAAGCGCGTTCCGTAACATGGTCACGAACAGGCGAACTTACCTTATATCTAGATAACTCTGTAGATTGATTAACTTGTTTGTTGCATTAGTTGTAGGTTTATTTATTTAAATTAAAAAAATCCGATCGACGTAGCGTTTGTAGTACCTATGGAATTTTTGTTATTAATTTCAGCCCTTACATTGGGATGATGACAGGGTATGAAAATTAAAAATCTAATTAGTCCGTAAGTTAGAGAATAAAAAAATATTAGACACGTATTTTTTATTTTGTCGTACCTAGGTATAATAAAACAATAATTAGATAAAACGAATCAAATTTTAGGAATGGGGGCTAAAACGTCATTTCTATGTATAGAATGTACATAGAAGTGACGTCACGCGACATTTCAAATCAATATATCGTCGAAAGTATTCGTTTCTGTAATAAAATAAAAAATACGTGTCTGATGATTTAAAATAACCTACCAGATTAACATTAAAATAAAAATTAGGCATCTACCCTATTAATCGAAAAAATGGGTATTACATTTAACATGTTGACACATCTACCTACCCCTTTGGAGGATAAACGCGTGATGTGATGTTTATGTAACATCATCTTGTCTATTGCTAAAGAAGGGGAAAGGTATCGAGAAATGAATCTGTTAGCAGCGAGGCGTGGGCGCGGTGTTGTGTGGCCATAAAATAAGTGTGTAGGTAATTTTATGTATAAATTTGTTGTGTGCATGTGTATACGACTATGGATGGCGAGGTATCATCCAGATATCCACTTCTTGGTAAAATGTATCTATTTATTGCCGTGTTAGGATTTATTTAGTAGGTAGTAAATATGTCCGAGTGTACGGCGCGTCGCGTTCCGCGTGCGCCTCAAGGAGCCATCAGTCAGACCACCATAGATGGGGCCCAACAGGGATGATGCCGATACTGAGCTCCGGAAGACTTAACGGGTTGCCGGGGCTCCGGCTCAAAGTGCAGGAGTAGGAACGGGTTTAGTCAGTAAGAGTCTGACACTCCCTCTCGCCTCACCCGGGCGGGAGAAGCCATTGGATGATTTTCCCCCCTCAAAAAAAGGTAGTAAATATGTCAGGATCACCTGATGATAATCAATCGGCGGTGCCCATGGACACCTGCAACACCAGAGGCGTTGCAAGTGCGTTATCGGCCTTTTGGGAATTGGGAATTTGAAGTTTGTGGGGGATTCGGTGATTTAGGTATTGGGGAAAATTGGTCCATATGTGTATTTGTTTGTGTGTTT